GCCCCCGACTGTCGTATCGGCGTATCGGCGTATGTGCCCCCTCCGGGCCATGCGCCGGCGTTTCGGCGTATCGGCGCAAGGCGGTTTTGAGACACTATTTGCAGGCACGCTGGTCTGTCTCGGACTAGGAGGTCGGACAGCTCGCAACAATCTCCGGCTGCCTCCTTCCTCCCAACTGCAGATCCCAATCTTAAGACGCTTTGCACACATCTCCGCGGCGAAGACCCCAAACGCCAAGCGCAAAACCCCGAGTCCCCAAAACTAGCATCATCAGCGCACCCTACGGGTCCATGTGGAGCAAATGGTGTATGTATATATATATATACATACTTTGGCCCCGTACTTACTTCAATGCCGAAGTATATACTATTTGGGCACATGGACGCGTAGGAATCTGTGCATCTGTAGTTTGCTGTGTTTCTTTTCCTAGAATTGCTGTTCTAGTTCCTCCTCTTGAATGGACGCGTCGATCAGCGATAATCATAGAAGATTTCGGGCATACCCTGAAGCCCTAAAGCCAAGGCACCTGAACCTTTCCTGACTGCGAGTACTATTATGTCAGGCGACTCTATTCTATCAGAACCTCTAGCTGCAGCACTTCTTCAATGCCCTCGGCAAGCAACCGTTAAGTTGGTTTCTGGACTATCAGACGATCGCCATGGATGAAAGCAAAGTTCGAAAATTCTGTCACTTGTGGTTCCCTACAGTGCGCTTGTGCAATTCTATTACAACGACCCGCAACCCACAGGCTAAATATTCAGGCCCCTGTCTTGTTTGAATTGCCCTCTACCCTGAACGCTGAACCATATCCTTGGTCCTTCATTAGCAGTACCATAAACCCTGAAGTCATAGCCCGAATTTACGTTCTACTACCTAAAACCCTAGTCTAAAACCTGCAGACTTCCAGTGCCGCCTGTAGGGTTTACGGCTTCGGAGTTGAGGGTTTGAGGAAATGGGCCACGGCGCTCTCTGCCGGGGTCTCTGAGGTCGGCAGCTGCTCGGCTGCAGCTGAATTCTTAAAGCATTAGCGGGTTAGGGTTTATAGGGTTTAAAGGGTTTAGGGTTTAGGGTTTGGATGGCTCAGGATTGCCATCCGCTTAGCGGTTGGGGTTACCTGATGCCTTCTTGCATTGAGGCTGGGAGTTTAGTTTCGCTTGGTATGGTATGGAAGCTGCAGCGTAGAGGGCATCGTAATATTGAGGCAGGACTGATTGGCGGTAACCAGTATCTCTTTGGGTTCCCTTTTTGTCATTTAAAGTAACAAATTATACCCCAAACAGTTCGGGCCCCTGAAAACTCCTCGCTTGCGACTCGAAGCGGCTTAAGCCTCCTCTGAACCCACAATCCAATGCCAATCTGCCTCAACCCTCCTTAGGATGTTGCTTGAGTGCGTATGTTGGTCAAGTGCATTCGGCCGCAAAAAGTGGGAGGGAGGAGGGGATGTAAGTACCAGCCCTTCAACCCTGAAGCTCTAGCAACCCTTTACAACCTCCAAAAAACCTTAAAGCCCTCAAGCCGAAAGCAGCTGTATGGGATCAGCGATATGGGTGGTTGTCCAACTTAGGGTCTCTTTCGGGTTCCCGAACGATGGGTGCCGCCGTAGGAGTAGAACTATACAGGGTTCCCCAATGGTTTCGACAGTTACCCACGTTTAGACAAGGACATAGGAGATAAAGGCGGCTTGTATTGATTGGTCGGGAAGGGACTTTTGAATGAGCACACACACGCATACATAGTCCAGAAGTGCCCAACCCTGAACCGTAAACCCGAAGCCCTTGAGCCCTATGAGCTCTAGTGTCCAGAAGTTCTCATGGTGTTCTCCTCGAGGCTTCTCGCTCTTTCAGGTCACCATCTCTCTGACTGAAGGTCCCGGGCCAAGCATTGTGAGAGCTGATGTGTTGGATTCATTTTGAGTTGGATGTTCACGGTTTTGCTTACGGTTCAGGAGTTACCAGGTTTAGGTTTTAGGCTTGTTAGTTTCGGCAGGTTTTCCGAGATCTTCTAGGTTTCTGGGTTAGCACGCGGGCGGCTCTGCATCGAAGTCGGGAGTGCCTTCTTGGTTGCTAAAGTGCTGTAAGGCTTTCTGACGTGAAGGGCTCCCTCCGAGGCTTTCATCGACTTTCACCGTGGTTTTATGCTGTGCTCTCTGGGGCTTCATGTATATCACCCAGACTCTTTACTTTAGCCTCTGCAGTCTTATTGCAACAAGAGCAAATTGACGGATCTAAACTACCGTGATTGGATTCCCTGGTGCCTATGGGTCCTCATAAAAGTTCCTTTTGGTTCTGACCAGTAAATTTCCCTTATGGCTAGAAGGATTCCCACGGCCCTATAAGGCTTCCGGGTAAACTTAGGGTTGCGGGTTTAGTTTCCGATAAAAGGTAGAAGGGCTCCAGAGTTTATATGAAGCGGAGTTGGTCACGACTGGAGGATCTCAGAGTTCCGACTGTTTAAGTTTGTTCTAGGGTTGAGAGAAAGGGCTTAGGGATGCCGGGGATTTCGGGTGTAGTCTTTAGGGTTCAGCACCACTGCAAAGGCTCTATGAAGCTGTGGATGACGGGAAACGGCAAGTCTTTGCCGTTTAGTGGACTGGACTCTTCGGTGGACTCTTGAGCCCTAGACCTACTCCGAAACCCCTGAACCCAGCCCAGCCCTAATTCCGAAGCGCAAAACCCTAAAGAGTGCAGAGACTTGGCTTTCGATTGAATGTGACCCATGACCAGGCCTGACACATCCCGACATATTGAGCATCATTTTAGGCCTTGGAGTGTAAAAGGGTTCAGGATGTTAGGGGTAATTATAGGGTTCAGCGAATGTTCGAGGGGGGGCTCATCCGAAACTCCATGGCCCATAGTCTGGCAATTCGTTGAGTGCTTGCAGTCCGATTCCGAGCAACTCAACATTTTGCAACGGCCTTGGGTTTGCCAAGCTTGAAACCTTTCCATCTGCACCAAGGGGGCTTGGACCACGTGTCAGAGATTGGCGAGCGCCTGTTTGCATTTCTGGGGCTGCTGCGTGAGTGCCTTGGCGGGAGCCAGTTGAAGTTTAGTACATTATTTCAGCCGGCTTGTGCGGCGCAGAGTACAATGAACCATACCAACCGTGCAGCTTGTTGTCGGTTCAAGAAGGGGGCTTGCGCAGCAGCGACAAACACAAAACCGCACCACCCCGAGTCAGTGGCTGCTGAGTGTCACATGAATTGTTTTTGCGGGATCGTATTCTTGGTATTGAGAGCCAGGATAACCGTCATCCGCAACTCTTAGTTGATCTCGGCTTCCGGAGATGGACGATGCATCTGCTTCGGCAATATGTATCGACTCGGAGGAGGAGAACGACCCCCCGAAGCAGCCGATGGCTACGCCCTTACATGTCTTCTGTCGGCTGGTGATCCCGGCCCGAGGTGCATCAAAGAGTCGGGGACAGACCAAGGGCGTCACCGTAGGTGATGTCTGGATCTCCCAAAGAGCTCGGAAACGTGGAGCAGATGGGTCTCCGCCTTCGATGGAGCTCGAGTTCTCCTTGGTGGCTTCACAGGCCGCCGAGGTCAAAGCAGAAAATAGAACGGCAATAGTGCCAACCACCGTCATTTCACAGATGGCGGTTCGATCTGAGGGGCGAATGATTGCATTGAAACTGCACGAGCCAATCGGCTATGGCTTCTTTACCGAAGTGGCGCAGGGTAGGCTGCCCTCGGAGTTCACGTTGGTGCCGCACCGGAACGAGGTCCACAACGTGCTCGCAGCTCTGCGGTGGTGGATGCCGCACGTCGTCGTTTCAGGCAATGTGCCCATGCAGCTTGGGGGCGAAGGCATCGTCCTCCGTCTGGACGGCTTGACACTTACAGCTCCTCGGAAATTAATTAATGATCATATATAGTTAGGATGCTTGATGAGACTGCACGAGAGACGACTCCTTAACTTAGGTAAACAATTACCCGTACATGTCTGCACAAGAACCCAGGTTCGGGATCTAATGCTGCTGGAAGACGAGCAGTGTTTGAACGACTCAGTGCTAGACTTCTTTCTCCGCCTCGCCTTGGACGTCATAGCACCTGACCAGACAAAAGGTGAGCTATACTTAGCCAGCACCTTCTTCTTCCAGAAGTTGACCTCGGGTGGTGTTGAAAACGGCGAACAAGGATGGAACAACGTCCGACGCTGGACGAGGTCGCTTCCCGGAGGCTTGCTAGGACAGAAGTATGTGGTCCTGCCCATCAATGAGCTGAACATTCACTGGTGGCTTGCCATCATTTGCAATGCTCGGCAAGGCTTCGATGACTCGGTGCAAGAAGAGTCCATGGATGAGATGCCTCGGATCGTTTGCTTGGATTCGGCTGTCGAAGCACCACTTAAAGGCAGGACCGTAGCGTTCCTTCGAGGATACTTGTGGAAAGAGCCTTGGTTCTGAAGCATTCGCCGTGCTGTTTGCTCTCTTCCTGGTTCAAAGCAGCTGAAGACTAAAGAAACAGAGCAAGTCTTACCGGTTCTGTCTTCAGAACAACTCGCCCAGGAGTGGTGCGAGCGTCATGGTGGTGCGGACAGCCTGGCCGATGCTGCAGAGTGGTCTCGCAAGATTGAAAAGGCTGGGGGGCCAAGCCCACCCCACAAAGGGAAGGAACTCGCTGTGCCGGTTTTGGGATGCCCGGAGATCGAAACCGTTGCCGTGATCCTGAAACCCTATGTAGCACAGCCCTTGTGGGGTCCCTCATCCACCAAAGCCTTACTCACTCCAGCCCTATGAACCCTAAAACCCTAAAGCCCTCAAGAAGCGAAGCCCTCAGCCTAGGTAGAGCCTCATAGATCAGTCACCCCTTCTTTGAGGGATCCCTTGAGCCTTATACGCCCTAAGCCGAAGCCCTTAGCACCCCTACGAAACAATAGGGGGGGGGCCCTAAACCCTAAGCCCTATAAGCCCTAAACACACCCTTTTAAAGGTCACCGGACGGCTGAAAGCCTTGGAGGCGGATGTCCCAAAGCAGGCGAACAGCTTTGACTGCGGTATCTTCTTGATTGAGCACCTGGGCTTTAGGGTTTGGGGCTTAAGGTTTAGGGTTTAAGGGAGCACCTGGGAATTAGGGTTTGGGGCTTAAGGTTTAGGGTTTAAGGTTTGGTTTTTTGTTTTTGGCGTTTCGGGTTTAAGGTTTATGGGGCTTGGACGGCTTGGAGCTTCGAGATTCGGTACTGGGGCTGCAGGGCTTAAAGGTTGGAGTGTATGGTCGGAGGTCTACACTACTGCAGAGGATTGAGAACAGGGGTTACTGGGGGCTTTAGGCTTTCAGGTTTAGGTAGGGTTCAGGGCTATCAAAGTAGGTTATCCAAAAGGGTACTACAATCCCTGGGCCTATAACCCTAAACCGTCTCGGTACCTGGACTTTTAGGTTTAAGGTGCGGAATGCTCGGGTCGGATGTCGAGAATTTAGGGTCTATGGTGCTTGGTTTTTTACGGTCTATTCTGCTATAATTCTAACAAGGAACCCCCAAACCCCTAAGATTTCGGGCTTGATGTTCAACTTTGACCTGCTCAGGGACGAAGGCAAGCTGTGATCCAAGTTCAAGTTGAATGCAGATTGAAACACACACCTGCGAACCCTCTACTGCCTTGCTGTACTACTCCTGTACTGCTGAGCTGCTAGTGTACGCTCGCCCTCGACTGCTTTGGAGAACTTTGAGGTACCTTATCCACCTCCTGAAGTCCGAGATGGCTTTGTCTGGTCTCGGCCTGGCCACACACAAGCACTGGTTTGCGCAACACTCCGTGTCCCACCGGCGAAACTGGGCCCCTGTTAAAGGACTTCGTTTAGTTTACCACAACAAGGACATACGGTGAATGGTCGAGTTTCCTTACCATGCTAACTCAAATTAAGTTCCGTTCCGAGAGCCCAGGAAAGCGGATGAAGTGGTTGGCAAGCCTGCTCGTGCATGAAGCGAAGCGCCGATCTCAGCCAGATGTCGGAAACTTGGCCAATGCGAGGGATCCTTTTTACCTTCCTGGTTTGTGATTCCTAACAGTGAAAAGTGATGACACAGGAGCCTTCATATGATATGCTATGTTACAATGTGACGGACCAAGGAAAGCTCATGGAGGAAGACCAACGTCTTCGACAAGCCGTTGCTAAGGGGCTCACGGACCTCCCAAAGAAGGTTCCCAAGGAGCGGATGCCAAACACATACCCTAAACCTTAAGGACGAACTGAATCCTAGAAGGGTTTAAGGTTCATATACCAAATAGGAACTCATAGTATAAGGGTATAGGGCCCCTACTTTTAAGGGTCATTTCGTCTTTAAGGAACCCTTAAACCCTAAAACCCTAAACCGAATCTACCCGTTTCCCTGCTGCGCGACATAGTCAGCGAAGCGGGTGAGAAAAACATTCCAACACCAACAGTTCTGACCCGCTGTATCGCATATATTGGGGAGAAAATAAGTATAGTTACATATATATATATACATATATATATATATATATGCATATATATATATACATATATATATATGTATATATATATATATGTATGTATGTATGAGGTGAAAACGGGAGCTTCCCAGGCCAAGCGGCATCCGAACTCGGATGAGACCTCGCAACGACGCACTGTTCCACGTGTGTCCTCGTAGCGGGGCCTTTGGCATTCCGATGGCCGCGCCTGATGGCAATGGGATTTAGGGCTGTAGTGTTTAGCACTTAGGAAATAAAATCGGGGTGTCCTTCTGAGGTCTCATTCTAGTGATTGTGCTGTGCGGCTGTGCCTTGGCACCGGTTGATCGATGTTGTGGCGTACTCTACTCGGTAGCTTGACCTGCCTCATGTTGTGAGCGGTTGCCATGCAGTGCTCCTGCAGAGAGTCATGTCGCTGTTTCACTGCGGGCTCGAAAACGACCTTCCATGTGCCTCTCGTGACATGTTTCTGGTTGGCCTCCATCCAACGACTCTCTGTCCTTATAATCATGCGTATCTATGCATGGGCATTCATATTTTGTAGTGAGCATGGCCTCCCACCCCGACAACCTGCGCGACACTACACCAACTTGGGGTTTAGGCTATTCTTTGGCTCAAAAAAGGCTATTCTTTGGTTTAAGGGATTCAGCTTCCACGAACAAGGCCGTGCAATTCAGACAAGTAGGTTCCAGTTCTGCAAACAGGTGAGGGGCCAGGAGGTGTTCATGGCTGTTGCTTCATCGCTTTTTTACGGCTTCAATGCTGTGCAAGGGGTGATTCCATTGCATCGCAGAGACCTGCACCCTTCAGATTACCTTACAACTTCCCCGAAGATCGCCATCCGAAGTCCCGCAAGCACCTCTGGAGCCATTCATTTGCATCAGAGCTGGGGCACGAAGACCCTGAATTCCACAGCCATGAGCGCAAAACTCCAAGATCCGCCGCTAAGAGTCCCTTCCTCCCAGGCCCTAAGAAAAAACGCTCCAACGCCGCCCCAAAAAGCCCCCAAACTCGGCTAAGTTTAAGGGGTCTCAGGGTTTTTGTTGAGCTGAAGGGGCTTCAGTTTTAGGGGTTTGGGAAACGCTTCAAGTCTTTGGGTATCGGGCTAGAAAGGATGGGACCTGTATGCTGCTATCTTCAAGCTCCAATGCACTAGCTGAGATCGCACCCTACAAAATCGGGAACCATGTCCTAAAGCTGCAGAACCTCATGGCATCCATTATGGGATTCACATAAGATCCCCGTAATCCCCTTTTTTTTCTGAAGGGTCTTTCAAATCACTGTACTAGAATACACCCCAAAGCCCGAGTCTGATCATTACTCCAAAATGCGGCGTTTTACGCCTCTAGAAACCCTTGGACCACTGGATTATTTTCAGCAAGCCCAAAAACCCCAAGCCCCGGACCCTGAACCCAGTCTCTTTGTCGCCCTTCTTGTCCTCCTTAACCCTGAACCCTAATTAAACCCTAGCTTGTCCGAGTTGTGCGAGCGTAAACCCTGAACCCTAAAACCGCAAGCAGCACTAAGCCCTAAACCCTAGATCCTCAGCCATGCGAGAGGGAAAAAAATCGCAAGCAACCCAGGACTCCAATCCAGATCAGAGCCTTACAAGAAGTGCAACAGCTCCGGGAGCTGGCCACTAGAACTGCACGGTTTTGGTAGAGGCCTTATATGAGTGGAATAGGGTTTTGGGCTCCTTCCTAGGACAATCATAATAGGGTTCGTAATTAACTAGGCTTCTATATTAATGACATGCTACATAAGGGTTCTTTGGAAGGGGCTCTATCAGTTGTTAGGGGCTCCAATTTCGCTGCATTGCATACGGGCTTTGACAGGCTTCGATTGGGTACCACAAGGGTTGTGTAAGGTTGTGCAGGATTGAAGGGTTAATGAGTTGAAGGGTTTGGGCTTTTATGGGGGTTAGGGGTTTAAGGTTTGGGAGTTTAGGGTTCTAATCTAAGACCCAGAGGCATATGGAGCATATGCACCATGATTTTAGAATCAGGTCCCCAAATCCACGATGAATACGTCTGAAATAAGTATAGTGTGTTGGGGACTGGTTGGATAATGATGGTGTGTACGTATGTAATGTATGTATGCATGTATGCATGCATGGATGTCTGTATGTATGTATGTATGTATGTATGTATGTATGCGAACCATTCGACTGTATATATGTGAATATGCAAGCGGCTTTTGATTCAGGTACAAGTGGACATGATACAGTTACCTAGCAGTAGACGAAGTCATGTGAGTAGCACATAGCAATTAGTTGTATACTTGAAAACGGGAAGTCAATTCTTCTTGAGCTAGACAAGCCCAAGGATACTGAAACTTGGTTAACTTCTTCGTATCTACGGGACAATTGGGGATATCTTTCTTGATGGCTCTCGTGAAACAGAGCTGCTCCGTTTACTTCAGGGCGGGGGTCATTCTTTTTCGGAATCTCGAATGCCAGGCTGACGCCTCAAACCTCACTCACTTGCTTGCAACCGTGTGTTTTTTTGCAGCACTGTGTCTTTAGCGCTTGCCGAGAGTTCGTGGCCTCCGCGTCTAGTTTTCCGTTTCGACATTCTCGCCGGCTCAAAACCGACTGTGCGGGTTCAATCCAAGTGCATAATCCAGTACACCAGCATCACCAACAAATCAGTGCAATCCTCAGCATCATCACCATCGTCCTGACTGCATCGTCCCTGAACATGTGTACCATCATGTCATAGTGTTTCCTGCCAGTTTTTGCCGTTTGTGTCGTCCTCCTCGGAGGCCACGGTCCCGAGTGCGGGGCTCGAAGTTCCAGGCTTTTTTCAGATTCTCCCATTTGTCTAGCTTTCTAGAAACATGCTTGCCTACCCATCTATCAACGCTGTCTATCTATCCATCTGTTTCTTTGTCTGTCTGACTGCTTGGATCAACTCTGAACCCTCTAGGCCAAGGACTCGTGGGTGATTCAGAAATTGGCCCCTAGACCCTTTAAACCCAAAGGACTTCCCCTATAAACCGAAAGGACGTCCCCTATAAACCCAAAGGACTTCCGCTTCTCCGACGACTTGCAGCCCTACACCCTTGTAAGCCAGTTGGCCAAGAGTCTTCAGGAGTACCCGCCGGAGCAGGCGCTGGGGTTTAGGCTTCAGTGACTTTAGTGCTTAGGGTCTAGAGTTTAGGGTTTGGGTTTAGGGCTTGGGGGCAGCGTACCAAAAAGGTGTGGTGCTCCTCGTTTCTGTCCTTTTGTGAGCGTGCAAAGGGTGTGACTTCGGCTGCGGTGTAGTTTTCAGTGATCAGAAGCGAAGTTGCTGTGGTATCCGGGTACCACTTTTGGAGAACAAGGCTTGTGAAGTTTGCGTGCTGGCAGGAGAATGTTGGCCTGGATCCCCAGTCTTATTGTCCGAGCCGTCATCACCTGCATTGTAGATGTCCATCTGCTGTTGCCATATACTGTTTCTTGAGGTTCTTCATGCTCTTGTGACGGTGGTACTGCTGGTGGTGCTGGCAGTTGATCCGCGGATGTTCTTGTTGTGATTCTGCTGACAGTTGCTACTTGCGCTGGCTACTGTTGTTGTTGTTGTTGGTACCCTAAACCCTAAACCCTAAACCGTATCATTTCTGTTATGAAACAACTTACACTTGCACTGAGACTTCGGCCGGGGGTCGCCCCTTGGGTTCCCTTGAGGAACTGCCTGCCACTTCATATTTCTATTTTGGACCGAACCTTGAACCAACCCGTGACTCTTGAGTCTAATTTGAGTTTACTTTCACCAGCTGTTCTTCGGCCGCTGTTGGAGGTTTTGCTTCTTTCACGGGCATTTTCGCTGCAGTGGGTGCCCTTTGTGTTCCATCCAGGTTGTAAAACGGCCACTGAGTCCATGCAAAGTTGCGGAACTCCAAAAAGCCTTAAACTGCAAACCTTACAGTTTGTTGCGGGTTTGCGGTGATGCGTTCGCTAGACAGGCAGCAGTCGTCCTGCATCGGCGCCATTCGGAACTAAGCTTAGTTTCCGAATTGCATAGTTTCTATGTTATGCACCTTGTTGTTATGAATAGGGCCCTACTTGGCACAATGGGTCAACCCAAAGGCACTACAGCGTAAACCGGAGGCAAGCCCTATAGAACCTGCCCAGTTCTCTACCTTACACCATGCACCGGCAGGTGCTGTCTGCCCCTTATCGAATACCGGAGATGGACTGGCGTCCCTGCGCATAAGCGAATTCGGGTGATTCTGCTAGGTCGTAGGGTGTAGGGTGCAGGAGCCGTCATTTACGACTTCTTTCGCAGCTGCTTGTGGGTATTGAGGGTCGGGATTAGATTTAGATGTATTCCGGGCTGTCTGCGCATGACCACCCGGGTTCTATCATTCTAGACTTGTAGTGCAAATCTCAGCTGCAAGGTCTTGAGGCTCCTTAGCTCCGACAACTCTCAGCTGAAAATTTCCAGGGTGAGGCATCCTGATCTAGAAACTCTGGCCCTATAACCCCATAATATCAGGCTTCATATAAGGAACCCTACCGATTCTCGGCTTGGGATCAGTTGCAGCTTCCCGTGTTCAATTCAAATTTGCCCTGCTGCAGAGAGCCCTGTTGAGTTTGAGCATTAAAAACTCATCGGCGATGCTTTCATATATATATATACACATACACACATACATACATACATACATACATACATAGATACATACACATACATACATATATATATATATACACACATGTACGCATGTACGTGTGTGGGTAGATGGATAGATTGATTGATGGATCGATGGATGGATCGATAGACAGATAGATAGACAGATAGANNTATATATATATGTACGTATACATAAGGGCCAGAACAACTGGTAGATTGCGAGTTGGAACTTCTTTGTAGCGCACATATGTTTCATGTTCTGTACCAAAAAAGCATACTTACCCCAATGCCAATACCTTACTCTTAATCATGAGGGCATTACGGCCCCTCTCTCACAGCATGTGCAACACGCGCCATGCGGAGGACACAGACAGGATCCAGCGCTTTCTGGGAAACCTAACGGCGGCCTGGCAGTGAGCACTCTCAGTTTAGGGTTTAGGGAATCAGGGTT